AAATACTTAAAAGGGGAGGAAAAGAAATTCAGTTGAGTGCAAAACCAGGACAAAACACAACCTGAACTTTTCCTTTCCTCTATGTAATGCAAACTTCACATTAAGGCACAACATATAACTTAATTTAACCTTTTGGCAACTAGTGGCTCTTGCAGAATTAAACATGCTGTTTAATGAAAATTCTCCTATAAATTGGGGGGGTGGGTGTGGGTGTGTGTGTGTAATAAACCAAAAAAAATCCCTCAAAATAAACAACCAGACAAAAAAAAAAACAAAAACAAACCAAACACAAAATGCAAAGCAAAGCACAAACAAATCTGAAGTTATTACATTCACTGAAAACATCAGAGAAAAGCAGATGTTTCTCATAATCTAAATTATAATCCAAGATTTACCATGGATAGTATTGAGACATTTCAGAAATCACTTTTTCTGAAGACTATCTGCTTCTAGTGAAGTTCTTTATCTTACAGTCCTACATTAAGCAAAATCTCAGTTCTGCCACACGGGATTTCCACACAGCAAGTCCCATGACTTGCCTCCTCATCTGTTTCCCTATTCCATTAGTTATTATTTGGGAAATATTCCACTGCACAGACTACCAAACTTTCAGTACACTGTGCAAGAGAGTCAGCTCCTGCAATAATAGGACTGTTATTTGTCACCTTGAGTTTCTCAGTATTTCATTGTATCTCATTACAAGCTAGTGCCACTGTGCACAAAGTATTAGAAGACAAGGTAAACTTAATGCTTGCATGACATAAGTAACTCAGCAAAGAAGATACAGCAATACAAAAAGCTACCCAAATCATATTATATCTGAAAGCAGGAATCCAAAGTTTTTGTTCGTTTTTCTTTTTTGGACTAACTATAGATTGACAACTGAGAATCACAAAACGCTGACTTCACCCGCTTCTTCCATGCATTAACACTTAACCAGAATATTTTCTGACAGATAGGCATGACTTTGCCTGTATTTTTAACGCATGCTATATAGATCACAGGTTTATCTTCAGCCTTCAACACCAATTTTGTGTCTACCCTATACAGCTGTGAACTGAACTTCTGCACACTGCAGAGTATTTCTGACCTCTGAAAAAAGTTTCACATCTATCTGACATATACAAACTCCTACTAAGCACAATCACCAAAAAGCCAGGAAAAGGTCTCCATATATATTACAATCACAGTTTCCATGTTACTTCACACAAGTAATTCTGACAGCTTTTTAGTAAATCTACATAATGTATACCTTTCCCTCCTTTATATATGCATTATTTTTACATTCTGTTTGCAGAGCGCTCCACTGATATAGAGATAACACAGAGCCTACAATACTTCCAGCACGAAATTGTGTAGCTTACAAGTACAGAAAATTGCTTGTTCCCCTGGTTACTCTTGCTAGATTTGCATTCTAACACAACAACAAAGAATGACAACTTTCTGCTTGTCACCTGTGAACCCATCTATTAAGAGAGGATTTTGTAAACAGATACTGTTTAAGATGTTAATTTCATCTTTGAAGAGAAGTGGGTAAGAGGAGAACAGGTGTCAATAAACAAGCAGTCTGAAAGAATTACAAGTCTCTGGAAGAGATACTAAGAATTTGGGATGTTACATATCTGACAAAAGCAACCAAGGGAAGATGATGTTGGTGAAATCATTTGTTTAAACACACATTTAAGAAATTACTGGAACACAAACTCAGCTTTTAATCTTAAGACTTGACTGCTTCTGAGATCCAGACAGAACCAAGCTGCGTCAGACATCATCGGGTCCTAGGGATTGACCTAATATTTCCTGCCAGAGTTCAGGATGTGAGTTTTCAATGAGCAAGAAACAATTAAAAAAGCAAAGAATGACAGAGCATGTTCTGAACTTCAAGAACGGGCTGAACTGTCTATGGGAGACAGCATGAAGTTTGATTATCTCAAGTACTGCTTGCAACAAACACATTCCACTTCCCTGGTGAAGTTAATGTCTGCTATAAGGCAGACTACATACAGTGTAAATGTCAAGATTACAGGTCTGATCCAAATGTAATGAAGCCACTCATTAGAGCGATTCCTGTACAGGGCTTTCCCCATGACATTTTTGCTACATTTGCCATACCTGCACTTTTGCTGACATATTACTTACTGCTCCAGATCAGTAAAATGGACAGAAAGCTAAGGAACATTCAGGAACATTAAACCTGTTTCTGACACACTGCATGTAGCCTCCCTCTACATCACTTACTACATCTCAGATTACATTACATTACATTAAACAGCTAGAAATTGAAAGAATAGTACATGACACAATACATTTGTCACGTAACGTGATGTGACCGTTAAAATTTCACCAAAAATATTTCCTGGTCCACAGACTACTATCAAATCAGACTGTAGTTAATATATCCAAATTGAATTTGGCACAGAGAGCATGAAAGTAAGACCAGAACGATTCTGTGCATGCATTATATATACATAACCCTATACATAATATAATCATGTTGAGGCAGAGATGAAGATTTTCTTGCTTGAAACTGGCAGACTTGTGCAGCTGAAAACCTGTTTTATTTGCACATATATATTTTAATAGAAATCTACAGCAGATGAATTTTTCAAACACAGGACTCAAACTTTGTCATTTTTTTAATCATCATGTTCTTAAAATACAACATTTGCAGGTAATGGCAGGTGTTTTAGTGAGAACAGGCTAACAGTATTATTTAGAAAATTTAAATAGTGCCACCTGCCATTCTTGATGCTTCCAAACTGTTTCCTAGGTATACTTCTTAATATCCTGTTCTGCTACAAAGGACATTCTGTTACAGTTGCACACAAACTCCAGTAAATATTTTAATCAGTAGTGCAAATTTCTAAACAGCAAGCCTACCAAATTAATCTTTCTGACATGGCACATACCCAAACTCAGCTAAACATTGAGAGGTTTTTGTGGAAATGCCTACATGCCAACAAAAAAAGAAATCCCACACCACAAAACCTAGGTAGCAGCATGATATTAAAAAAATATTATATCTATTTATGTCATGAATAAAGGCCAGAAACTATAGATAAAAAAAAAATGAGCATTTTTAAGTGGTGAAAATTTTCCCTTGCAACCATTTTAGATCTGTTCTCAAAAAATACCCTTAGTTCAGTAACTACTGCCTGAGAACATTTTGAATTACAGCATACTTTCAGACCAAAATGTTTTCCATGTTGAAATATCAAATGTGTGGTGACTGTCTAATCGAGGTAAAAATCAAATTAATTCAGACAGCAATATCTTTAACACAATGACAGTGATGCAACATACCTGTGCCAAAGGACAGTAAAAGAAACCACAAACTGTACTTTCACCAAGCAAAAGACCCAGTGCATCACCCAGAAATACAAATGGAATATTCTTGTTCTAAAATAAAAGTTCCTCGATCTGCCATGATGTCTCCTTAAAGTAACTCCTCCTTAATTAACAAAAATTACATGCAACTTCTATCTGAAAATATGGTTAGAATGAACTGTTTCAATAAAATTGTCAAAAGATTGCCATAAGCAAGCAACAGTAGAAAGAAGCAGTGACATTTGAAGGCTCAGTATGGTCTGCTATTTTTAAGGGGGCATTCTTCGTACATGCTGTACTAGCATTATGGTAAAGTTAGACAGCACGATTGCTACCTTGGGCTAGCATCAAAACAAAAAAAAAAGTCACCCATCTCATGACATTATTCTTTATAAATTAAGGAAGTCAAGTGAGGGTAGTAAATTTTCATTTTTAATACATTAAGCCATACACACTAATGAACTCAGCAAGCTAAATGTGACAGGTTATTCTCCTTGGTTTAGCAAGGCATTTATGCACATGCACAGGCACACAATATGAGCCTTGCAGATCAACATTTTCACCAAATATATTTCAGCTGTGATTAAAGCAAAGTGAAAACCATACAGAGAAAATAAAGTGCTGTAATTTATAGTCCACAGCAAGGAAGCAGACAGCAAAAGAAACACCTTTTTGTCTGGAAGTAAAAGCCTTTCTACTACAGTAACAACTGCTTGAAATAAGATTTAACCTGTGTTTCTTCTGTCCTCATCCTTATGGTGGACAGGAGAGAAGGATCACTTAACTACTGTCGTAAAGCAACCAACTGCATCTGGTTCATAAGTGATACGTATCACAGAACAGAAAGGTGGCCCTGGACAACTGAAATGATTCATCCTCATAAACCAAGGCAGGAACAGGCAGGAACAACTCTGCTTAAATTACCTCTGTAAAATGCTTATTTAGTCTGACCGCAAGTACTGCGGTGACAAACTCCGTTACTTCCCCCAGCAGTGTATTCTAGGACATGACCATTTCCACAACTGGAACTTTTTTCCTCAAGTCTAGCCTGAATCTTCCCTGATCCAATTTAATTCCATTATTCCTTATCCTGTCCCCAGAAGCAATGGAAAACAGATTATTCCTTTTCTCTCTGAAGCAATTTGGAGACACTTAACGACTCAGCACACTCTGCCCCCCATCGGGCAGATTGCCCGAGCCTCCCCCGATCCTTGCCCTTACCTCTCGGTGAAGGCTACTGCACGACATCCTAAACTCCAGGTGAAACACAGGCCAAACCAGCTAAAGTTTGTTTTGTGTGCGAGTTTCAAACCAGGCTCCTGTTAGTACACGGCAGCGGGCCGCCTTTTCACATCTTAACGTGGGCGATTAACGCCCAATCCACACCTGAAACAACCTCCGCGTCGAACGCACCACTTGCGGCTGGCTCGTGTTTACACAAGAAGGGCTCATTCCTACCTGCGCACCACAGGCGGCAGCGCTCCCTGAACGAAGCAGGCGCCAACCGGCCGCAACCGGTTCCGGGCGGCTGCAGCCTAACGGCAGCGGCGCGTGCACGCTAGAACCGCCGCCGCGCGCAGGGGCGAAGGGTGCGCGTGAGGAGAAGCGAGGGAGGGAGGGAAGGAGGAAGCGCGGGAGCATGGCGGCTGTGCGCGGCTGCGGCGGGAGGCCGCGCTGAGGTGGGGACCGTGGCCAGCTCACTCCAGGCTGGGGACAGGCAGAGGCACGGGTTTGGGAAGCCAGGGGAGAAGTAATTGGTGAAATGGAGACTGAGAAAGGAGGGAAAAGTGTGCTTATTTAAATGTTTGACTTGGGGGGGGGTATTATTTTGGGGGGGTTTGGGGTTTGTTTTTTTTTTTTTTATATATAATACCAGGTAAGCCGGTATTAATCTCCAATAAATTAAATTCACTCAAAAATCTCCAAGTCAAAGGCCGTTCTACCCATGGCACTACCCACATGGCATACTTTTTATTTCTCCCCTCAGAGCTACATCCTATTCTTTTCCAAACCACCTCTGCAAATTCTTAAGATCGTTTTGCCCTTTTAGCACACCAGAAGCCTAAAAGCACAATATCATTTTTAGAAACAAAATCCAGAATTACCAGTTTATTTTCCAAGTGAGTTGAAAGAAGTTCTGTGGGCACTAAGAATATCTTTGAAGTTTATACTGGTACGTTGTGGTATCTGAAATACTTTTAAGTCTTGCACACACAGAATGCTATGCAGATTAGGTAAGGATTATATTTATATTGTACTTACCCAGCACTGTAATTACTTAAGTTTTATTCTGAAGTGTTCTACAGAGCCATTACTGAAGGTTATTTTTTCCACTTGATTTATCACACTGTAGATGCTGCCACACTTAGGAACAAGAGTGCCACGACTGCAGCAGCACCCACCCTTCCACAGCCCAGCCTGTTACACTTCATAAACACCGTATTCACTTTGAACTGCTCAAGATGAACTTGGAAAGGTGAGAGATTAAACAGTCTCAACAATTTATCATGTGTTTGTGAAATTGAGTACACAGAAATTAGGAAGTCAGCAGGAATTACAAGTATATTCATTAATATCAGCAACAACACACAAACATTTCTCTAATCATTGCAGAGTAAAATGGGACTTGGTGTATCCAGGAGCAGCACCCTTCCACACCACCACCAGCTCAGGGGAGCACTGCACCATACAAACCAGTAGTGACACCTTGTGTGCAAATAAGACATTAATCTGCTTGATTGGGGAATAGGTTGAGGAAAGCATTTCTTTCTGATATGCTTAAAACAAACAAAGGAAAAGTTTCCTGTGAGAAGAAACACATAAGAAGTATTTACTAAAAAAGTACATGCACCACAACAAGTAAAAAATAGCCACCATACTGGGCTGTACAAACAGCCTGTTGGGATTTTCCAAGGGTGCCCTTGTAGAGGGAAGTGCAGTATGTTTAAAGATACTGCATCAATAAAGACAATGACTTGTAGCTGATTTCTCAAACTGGCTTTCTCTTTGACACTAGGCAAACTCATCCCCATCAGCACTCCTGGTTTCTCAGTGTAAGCCAGGGAAGCATCTTGCCAGTCATCTAAGTAAACGGTTTGAATAATACCAGGCAATTTTTAATCAAACAGTTATTTGTGGATACACATTTCAGCAGTTTTAATAATATTTACCTACCTCATAGGGATGCTGCTTAATTTAAGCAGTCGGTTAACATTTTAATGATACTTTCAAAACACAAAAGCCTAGTGATGACACAGCTAAGGTTCATAAATGATGCTATTGTTCCTTAGATTAATAATATCTTCATCAAAGATGCCCTGTGAAAAACTGCAGACTGCTTTTGTGCTTTATTTCAAATAGCAACAAAACCATTATAATTAGAATTTTTTCTGGTTTTCAAGGCTCCTTATAAACAGTTTTTAGTTTCACCTAAATTAATTTTCTTTCTCATTTGAAAGAACTGGGAGGAATACCCAAGAGAGAAGGAAAGTGAGAAAGAGCACTGCTAGTCACATCACTTCTCAGTACTCTCTAGCTCTGTACTGAAAATGTACTTCAGTGCTTCAGGAGCTGTGAAAATTCAAGCTGTGATCATACAGGCTAGAAGGAGAGTGGGGGCTGACAAAGAGGGAGGTGTTGCTTTTGTTACGTATTTTACTTTAACATAATACATAGTTGCCAATATGAAAAAAATTGCATGTACTTTTCATTCTGTGTTAGAATGTGCCACATTACATCAGTGTGCCTTGTTACATAAAGTAATAAGTGATGTGCCACCCACATCTTTTTTTTTTTTTAACTTTTGTTTATGATTTAAACCAATAATCACACTAAACATTTGGAAATAAATTAAGCCTTTTCAGACTGATTAAATTGGCTGAATGCTTTAAACATGTGACTCCAGCAGATCTAATCATCCCAGGATAGTCTGGGAGTTAATCATGCAAATGTCTTCAGATATTTCAATTTGCAAAGCTGTGTTTGTAGCATGCACTCTTCCAAAGCATCTGTATTCCGTGGTATGAATTGCAACTGTTCAGTGACAGGGCAGCAGAAAAAGTTATTAACTAGAAAAACACTTAAGCTAAATAAAGTAATTCAATTACAAAGTTTTGATCAGAAGAACGGAATAAAATTTGCCAGAGACTCTACACAACTGTAAGAGGTATGGGCCAATTGGCTCCAATTAGAAGGGACTAAGGAATACAGAATAGCTCCAATACCAAACTTGTATCCCACAACTTCACTGCTCGTGCACATACATTCCAGCTTACTACATGTACTTTGCGGAATTAGATTTTTCTGTGCGTACTGCACATGAGGAAAATGGTGGTGTTCCTAAACTTCCACCGAATGTGAGTCATTTACTACTCACAGTAATCCTTTTTTCTCTACCTTTCTGTGTGAAGGAAAATTTCCAGATGAATGAGGTGAATCATGGATTCCATCTTCAGAGAAAACTATTTTATTTTCAGCAGAATCTGAACTTTTCCTACCACATCCCCTTTCCTGTCTCTGGGATGACTGGAAAAAACTACATCTAAATCACATTATTTGAGGTTGCAGCTGATCTTCTTTAAAGCTTTATTAGAGCACCTGGAAAAGGACAGAATATCATAGAAGAAAAAAAAACAGTTTTATAAAGTTAACCTAACCACTAAGAATTTTTATACTTTACCTGTTCCCTAATGAAGCATTTAATTTGCATTAAAATATGTTATGGCTATTACTAGGACATAATATATATATATCTAACTTTATATACTGCCTGAGTTCTATTCCTTGATTAACCCACCTAAACACTGTTAAAACAAGTAAGGTTAATGAAAACAAAGGAGCTCAATCCAGAAATTTAACTTTAGAAATAGTCTCCAAAAACCTTAAAAAACAGTTCCCCAAGTTTTAAAACCTGCCCTGTAATCAACTGGCAAAACCAGTTTTAGTTCAGCTGTGTAACATGTTCAGCTTTTTAAAATGTAGCCAAATAATCAGAATTACAGACAGCAAATCAGTGTAGATAACTAGAATCCATTTTGTGGAGAAGACAAGGATCAAAAGATAGCTGAAAGTCTGACAACTCCTGCGTGCCACCAAAAGATGTCAGCGATATCTTGTTGGTTTATAAATGGATAAAATTTATCTTATTTGCCTAAGTAAGAAGAGCAGCAGTTATGAAGAGCATTCTACAAAACAGTGAAACATAACTGGCTAGTAAGACTTTTGTGAGATGAAATCCCAGAAACAGTAAGCAACAGAATTGGCTGGAGTTACAACTGAGATACTACACAGTATTTGTAAAATTTAAACCAGTTAGTTTGATAGAACTGTGAATAAATATAAGATGAATCTGGGTCTTAAAGATGAGAATCCCAGAGCCAGTTTGTTTCTTCTGATGCTTTCTTCCTACACTCAGGAAGAGCCTTCTTCAATGACATTAAGGTTATGATGGAAAAATAATTCCAATAGAGGTCTATAGAGATTTTGTTAATATGCCTTTATGATGTGATATTATGACGGCAATTCAATTTCATTGCAGGCCTAATGAGACCGTGTTACAATGTCAAAATGAAAGGAAACTATATTAATCAAGTTATACTACCCTGAGAGAAAGAAAAACCTAAAGAAATTAACCCCATTAAAAACTATTTTAAAACAACATTAAGATTTAGTGAATTCAGAATTGCTATGCTTTTGTTGTTTTAGTGCTTCAGGTAGAAGCTAAATTTGGCACTGATTTACAACTCATTAAGTATATTGACATCAGGGGAATCGGTGAAAGTTTTGAGGAAACACAGAACAAAATTTAAGGCAAGTACTGTGGTTACGTAAAGCATTGGGCACAGCCTGTTTAGTCCTACAGTTAAATCTTTTTTTCCCTTCAGCAGAACCAGAATTTTGATTTTTCTCACTTAGAAAAGGTGGCAATTTGGCCAGCGTTTAAGAATTTTAAGTTCTTGTAGCTCGTTTTTCTTGATATCACCATATTTGAATTTGTACTGTAAAATTAGATCTCCAAAACTGCAACAGTGAAGAGAATTCAAGTGGAAAATTCCTACAGACTTCATTAGAAACGATTATTACATTGGCAACAATAAAGTAAGAGCTAATACATACTGTGAATACATAAGGAGTCTTGTTTAGGTCCCAAGTGGTCAAAATTGAGGCTAATAGAACATGCCACAACTGATAAACAACCTTTGCTAGCTATACCAGCTATACCTTTAGAATCACCTATAAGGGAGGCTAAGTCAAAGTTATGAAAACTGTCATAAACCCATTTGAAAATATTCAAATGCCTGTATTAAAAGAAAAAATATATAAATATTTTAATAAATTTTTTTTTTTTTTTGCAACACATACCTTTTCATGTGAGTCTCTGTTGTGATAAAATATTCATTTGGATGTTTATTAAGAATCTTTGTCCATTCCAAGCTAAAGTTTCCTATTAAATGTAGAACTTAGAGCATTAATGAGAATTCCATAAAGAGTAGCATATGTATTCCATTTAAAATGTGCCACTGTAATTTTCCAGACCATATGGTAATGGCAACATGAAGTTCTGGTCTCTGTAAAAACTGCCACCCACCTGAACAGGTTATGGACTTTCCACCAGTGCAGAAGGCAGTGCAACACCATTTTTACATAATAGGTACTTACCAATTTTCAGCAAGGTAATCAGAAGGTTGGACATTTCAGAATCAGCAAGACATTAGCACCAAACATTTTGGACATGCACCATACCAGTTTTCACTGTGCCATCCTTCCTCTTTCAGCTCACATATTGTTCGTAGCAAACCCTGATATCTACATGGCACTATGAAGAAAGATTCACAAACCCACAAAATTTCCATTGATTTTCACTTCTATTACTGTTAAACATGCAGCGATGGCACTTTGTCATCACAGTATTAGGGAAAATTGACGGAAGGAAAGTATGGGCCGTTCCTAAACTCAAAATCCAGTTGCTTCTATTTTTCCTTGTCCTTAATTGATACACATAAACATGCACAGAGAATCTTTTGGAAGATGGCTGGCACATAATATTTTTTTCCAGCTGTTTACTGTATAACTTGAATAAAATTCCTGCTTCCAACATCATCATTTATTATATACAATATTGTATTTCCTAGAGGCTATATCCCTGTTGTAGGAGGCATTGTACAAATAAGAACAGAAATAGTCCCTGCACAAAGATCAGACCCCAGAGGTTTGCTTTATTTCAATTATTTTTCTCACAGAGCCTGTACCTAAGGCCTGTAAAAGTTCAGGCTCATATAAGCATTTTCTTGTGTCATTCAGGGTGGGCTTTAAAAAGAAACAACAAATGCACCAAAAGCAGCTCCTGCCATTTCAAGAAACATGTTCTTTGTGCAGACATGATATTCACTCATATATCTATCTCATTTACAGAGATATTGTCAGATAACTCATTTATGTCAGATGTAAATTTACTGTACATTTTGTCAATGTAGTAAATTTCTGTTGCTGTTACTAGCCTTAGCAGAGATAAGCTTTAGTTGCACCAGCATTATACTAATTGCATGTTATTTCTAAATTTTCACAAACTTATTCTTGTTGGTGCTATCTGGAAGAGTCATAATGGTTTGCTAATGGATTCACTGAAACCTTATCTGTCTTGCAAAATAATGTTCACCATAGTGCTACGTTCTACTGCAAAAATCTCAGGACTACTGTCAACACTGCAATGACAGAAGTAAAGAGCAATGCAGCACTGAAATTGTAATAGACTAGAAAGCAAAAAACTGAAATTCAGGCCATATAAAACATGACCTATAATCCACAAGGTAATTTGTATATATACACTCAGTTGTATATATACATTCCATGAAGAATGTACAAACCAACACAGGATCAAGAGAAATCTGTTGGGGGAAATATTCAAGAAAACCTACGTGCAAACTGTTCTTGCTGATCAGAAATCTAAATTCTTTGCTGCCTAATC